TGTGGCCAGCCCACCCCACAGCAAACGTGTACAAGGCTTCTTGTTTCTCCCTGCTCAGAGCTGCATTCTCTCTCAACGGCAGTCATTAGAATAAATAAAACCCATATAATCAACATGAGAGGGAGAGGACACATTTTTGTAACGCATTGGGGGAGGAGGGTGGTTTTTAAAATACCAGGGACACTACGAACGCCACAGTTATTATGTCAAGGCTCATGAGGTCAAAGTGAGTTAATAATTCCCGATTATTCTCTTAAAGATGACTAACACACAGCCCAATGCTAACAGTTTTCGTATTTTAATAATCTTCCATAGAGTTCTCTAATTTATTCAACCTCAACAGATTCCATTTCTTCATAAAAATAAAGTATTTTTCATCCCAGAGGAATAACTTCAAGTTTTTCTTCAGGGATGAGAATCCAAAATCCTGACTCTGCCTGCCATACTCCTGAGCTGTCTCCATATATCTCTCTGAAATTTTTTGGCTTACAGATTAAAGCATTAGAGGAAATGAAACTATAAACATAAAAGAACAATAAAGATCATGATTTGTTTAATGTTTACATTCTTATTATTAAGACAGAATTTAGGAAGCAAAACTGCACTTTACCACTTTAAAATATACCCCCAAAATCACTACACTAAAGGGCATTCTAACGGGTGACATTGTAAGAATATTTAATTGACACGATTTGGGAGGAAGGCTGGCAGCACACAAGGAAGAATCGAATTTGAAAGAGAATTTGGTTAATTTTAAAATGTTATCCAAGTAATTACAGTAAATACCTCCTTGTGGCGCAGCAAAGAAGTAAAAATATCAAGCTTTCCCGCAAATTTTCCAATATATACACATACTGTTAAAACATACACATGTGCACACAAACACGTACAGTGAAACCAGATTTCGGAGTTTATCGTTTGCCAAGGTTCACCCCAGAGCAAATATTTACTGCGGAGTTACAAAGTTGTCCTGAAGGAGAACCAAAATGGAAGCGTTTACATACGCTGCAAGTACTTTGTGTGCACAGGGACCACAAGAAAGATATAGTTTAATAAAAACATTTATGGATTTTGAAAGCAAACACAATGCAAGAGCCTTGCACATGTGGGAAAAGATGATATTTCAGCCTAACACGTTCTCTCTTGAAGATCTTTTGGCTGTTTGTAGTGAACAAACCCCAGTTTCCTCTGGGGCCCCGCTAATCCATATTGTAAACCATTCTCAGGAAACAAATGAAAGAATAATCCGACACTGCCCTGGGAGACAGCGGCGGGGATGCGGATCTGCTCTACACACAGACAGAAACTTCCCAGGATGGGTGAAGGTGGCTGCTGCATGAAGAACTGGGGTTCTCTAACCTAAATCTTGGCCACCTCCTCTTCCTATCAGGAGAATCTCTCTCTTAACTGATTTCCTCTGCATTCTGTCTCCTCCCGGGCTACCTCCCACTTCACCATCGCAAAACGAACCCGATATTTGCGAAACTTAGGAAAAAACACACCAGCGTGAGACCCACTGTTTCCATGCCTTTTGCCCCACGGCCTGAGAATCCACTGTGTGTATGACCTCAGAACCAAAGTTTTGCACTTCAAGTGAGCTTTGTGCACGTTCGCCCCGTTTTGTTCTGCCAGTAGGTCTTGGGGGTGCGCTAGCCCGCTCTTCATTAGTGCTTTTGTGCCTCATTCTTTATGAATCCCGGGCTGCATCCATCTACCTTAGCGCTGATGATCAAACGGGGGATCTTGAAATCACTGCGCGATTTGCAAATCACACAAACTGGAAAAAGGAATTCACGCCAAGTTGCACAAACTTTTGGAAAGGCCTTGTGGAGCCTTGCTCCTCTATCCTTGGGCTCTATTGCCCCCTGGTGGCTTCTCCCAGACAAATGCGGCCAGGGCTCAGCTCCGAAGCTCAGGTGTCCTGCCCTGGGGGCTGGAGCTGCTCTCTGGGACTCAGCTGGGCGGACTGGGGGGTGGGGAGGGAAGGGGCTGGCAGTACGAAAATAGACGTAGAAGAAAAGGGAACTTGGGGACATTTGTCCAGCAAAAAGGGTTCAGGCTTCTCCACCTAAAAGAACATTAAAGTTGTACAAAAAATGCATAGATCCTAAAACAGCCCCCTTTTTCTACAGACGAGAAACTGAGGCACAGAGAGATGATGTGACTTGCCCAGTCACATTATCTGGTTGTTTATGGCTAATCTTACCAACCCTGGTCACGCTGCTTTTGGGGGATGACAGGCTTTGGGGCTCCACGCGGCCAGGAAAGGGTAATGAGTTGGCCTTATTCTGTTGAAGACGCAAAGGAGTGATCAAATAAGGAAACCAACAGCATGGGAGATTTGTGTTCCAGGCCCCAGCGAACCCGTTACAGGGTGGAACTGGGTGGAGCAGCCTTCAGGCCACCCCGGCCCCTCGTGGGAATGCGCTGCGCCCCCCGGACCCCGGAGCGGCCCGACCCTGCTTCCCAGGCCCCGGGCAGGCGGGCGGGCGAGACACAAAGCAGGCCCCGCGGGCGGTGCTCCGGGTTTCGCGAGGGCGGCAGTGCGCTTGATTGATGGATTCACGGCGTTTAACCCCCGCCGTCTCGCCGGAGGCGGCCGATCCAGCTGCGGCCGAGGGCCTAGGGTGGCCACGGGCCCGGCCTCCGCGTCCTCCGCGCCCCCGCCCAGGCTCGGGAGGGCTGCCCCCCGGGAGTGGAGAAAGGCTGATTTACAGCCGGCCGGCCGGCCGCACTCTTGCAAAATCACTGCGGCCGGGGAAACCCACCCCCAGGACTCAGCCCGGAAGAGGCCCTAAAGGGGAGCAGGGACTGGGCGCGGGGGCGCCGAACCTCAACTTCCCGCGTCTACTGGTAGCTTGCTCTGAGGGCCCGTCGCAGCGTTTCCCGCCTTCTGCCCACGTTTTCGCCCGGGAGTGGGTTTTCGGGAGAGCTGAGGACAGCGGCATCCCTCGCGCCGGCACCGCTGCCCCTGCTCCCGCAGCCCAGTGCCTCGGCCTTTGCACCCGGAGCGCCCCGCGCCCCGCGCCCCAGCGCGGTGGTCACCACGCGCAGAGATCGCCAAACTCCCACCTGGGGCCCGCCTTTACTGGGGGGATTGCAAAAGAAACTTCGAAGCAGAGATTCGGGAGGGGAGCTGCTAGCTCCCGAGTCCTAGGCCACGCTTGGACAGCCCACGGGCCCCATCTCCATTTGTTTAAACACTTTTTGCCCCGTTTTCTGCAGGGCAGAAGACACACATTAAGAGAGCAAGATTGTGCTTAGAAACTTGTAAAAGGCGCATTCCTTCAGGTCTCCCTTCTTACCACCTAAGGGAAATAAGTGCCCCCTAACATTCTTGCTTTACTTTTAGCAATTCTTGCTTTACTTTTACTATTGATACCCTCCGATCTTTTTCGAGAGGAAAAAGATGTGCAGATGGTGAAATAAAATAAGAAACGTATGGTTTCAACTTGAACTAAGAATCCGAAGTGTTGATTCTAAACTAAAAAGTGTTACTACTTTTTTTGCTTATATGCGACTGGATAGGATGAGTTTTCCTACAGCCTACGAAGTTGGTCACTGGAAACCGGGACTGGTGAAAATGTGCAGATTCTTGCCCTGCAGACACTAGGGATCTGGTGCTGGGCTAGAAAATTCACCCACAGTTAGGATGTCAGAGGGAGATGTAAGTAAACGTTGGCACCCTAATCATTAGTTTCTGGCTAAACAAAAGTCAACCGACAGAGCACAAAGCAACAGACCTAATGAACCCGCCTTCTTGTAAAATGAAGGCCAATGGCTATATTCTGAAAGTTTTCTTAAGTAGATTTATTTTTAAAGGCTGAATGCAATTTTAAAATGCATAATTATAGGGCAGAGTAATCAAAAGTGAGTGTGCAATTATTCTGCTTGTATAAATAGGCGAAGAAATCATGAACTTTCCCAGCTAGAGGGCTGTCGACCTGTAAAATGTAAAAATGTACATGTAAAGCTGTGAAACTTCTCACTTGAGTACAGTATTTTCTTCTTTCCTCCCTTCTTCCCTCTGCAAATACCGTAAGTTCTTATTCTGGCCTTGATGTGAGGACAGCACGAACCCTTCTCTTTCTGATAAACCCAAACAGAAAAGCAGATATTAAGGCAGATAAGAAGTGGAGGTCTACACTTTCCAGGGTTTCACCCTCAGATCCCCCGCCGAGGTTGGCAAAACAAAGATGCTGCCCCCTACTACAGTGACTTGTCAGTGGAAAGAAAGTCTTGCCTATCTGTCATAGGGACCCCAAAATGAATTCCTAAAAAAGCAACGCTGCTCTAACAGCAACTGAATCAGAAAGCAGAGAGGCAACTCGGCCCTGTGGCTCTGGCCAGGCTCTGCTCCCAGTAAGACCACTCTCTGGGAAACTGAGTTTCCCTCTCGATTTCAGTTTAATCCCTAAGAAGTTCACCCGGCCCTGCAAACAACAAGCTCAGAAACGCAGCGGCCTCTTAACCCTTACCTTTTTAAAGCGTACTTAAGGTGCGCACTTCGCTTAAGGAAATATTTTTGCAAACACTTTCACTGGATGAGTCTTTTACTCGCAAACTTTCCTGGGCAAAATCTCCAGAGGAAGTTTCACATTAAGGCAACAACCAACAAAGCTTATTTTTGTAATATGTGGCTCTTTAACAGTGCCAGTATGTTCTCACTTCATTTAGTTATAAAATATAAAAGTGTTTGGTTTTCAATTTTTCTAAATTACTTGCAGGGTACAAGGTGGGGGTGGAGATGGTGAGAAGGCGATCCTTATGCCATCTGGTGGTGCCATGTGGAACTTCGCTGAAGAAGCCAGATCTACTGGCCATCTGTGCCTAGAGCGGGTTTCTCCAGGGAAAGGCTCTGTAAATCTCGTCCTTTTTAAATCTAGGGGAAAACAGCGCCTTCGTTGAGGATTAATTTAAAGAAAGCGGGAAATAGGGAAATTCCGTGCGTTGGAAGTCCATTTAGATTTCTACATGAACTGTCATATGTGTGCACTACATAATTCTTATTTTTTTATTTTTAAAAAAGGGATAATTTATATTCCAGTGACAAGTTTGGGAAAGGCCAAGGCAAGCAATTGAGTTGAACATTATGTAGCGTTTACTTAGACCTTGCAGACGTCTGTGCAATATCCACCACTGAACACGTGGGGTCGTACTCAAGTCTCTCCGGCCCCTGGTAATGTTACTCCCTTCCTTTATTTGCATGAATCGCCTGGATTGGGTGTCAGGTTTTTAAAACGTCGAGGTTTACGTCAAATTGTTGTCAACCAATCAGCATCCTACTTTGGCATGATTGGTTTCTACTGTAGGTGTCAATCATCCAAAATTTGCATACTACTTCTCAGGCCGCCGGGAGCTTGTCAGTCGGCTGTGGCAGCTGGAAGAGAAGGAATCGGACGGAGAAGAATGAAAAATCACTTTCCTTTAGCAAAGCGAAAGAAAAGTATTCTTTTCCTCATTATTTTTAAATAAATTTAATTGTATATTTACCTAATAAAATAAAGATACTCAATTAAACAAAAATAAGCAACTATCAAAGATGTTTACTAATTTTCATAATGTTTGCTGGTTTCAATAAGTAGTCAAAGCAATAATAAAACACAAAAATATGACTGCTGATAATTTTATGTCATAAATGACCATTTTAAAACTAAAAATGAGCCTGGGGTTTCTAAATAAAACTACCGTGGTAGCGTAAAAACACTGCTTTCAATACTTGGGCATGCTGAAAGTGCTGCATCCTAAGATAAATAATACACCAAGGGGGGATTTCAAAGAACATTATTTTGCTTTGAATAATCCTGTATTTCTGTCACTTTGCCCTTTTTATTTATTTACCGTGAACTCACAGACAGGATATTACTTGGAGTGTCTGAAATACTTGTGTTCGTACATTTCTCATCTTACACATACCCACACACACCAAAATAAAAAAACAAAAAAGAGAATCTCAGGGCCTGAGAAGTCATTACCGGTTTTAAAATTCAGAATTCGTAAAACCGAAGCTCTAATTTGTCAGCTACAAAATTCTTCTAGAACCACTGTAATTTAGAATATGTGCAGAACTATAAGATGTTTATTATTTCCTTAAAATATGTGTGAGTACAAACCAACGAGTTAACAGCTTATAATAGGAAAGCACTCTCCAGCCTTCTGCCCATCTCCATCACGCCGCAGAAACTTGTCTGAAAGGAGAATTTGGATGCAACAGGGCAACGGAGCGACATTTCTCCTCCGCACTAAGCCAGCTCTCGCCTCTGAAGAATTTTGTACTAGGCGTTCGCTAGCACTGAGATAAACTGGAATTATTTCCACAGCATTAACCGGGTTAGGAAGTTTTTATCAAACTTTGCATTTAGCAAATTTTTTCCATCGGCATTTTATCTTTGCCACCATCGTTTTACTGGTTGCTGCATATTCCTAGTTTTCTTTCTTTTTCTTTTTTTCCTGCTCTTATTCTGCCTTTCTTTGCTTTTTTTTTTTTTCTCTCTCTCTCTCTCTCTCTCTTTTTTTCTCCCAGTTAAGGATTGTCGCAGTCTGCCGGGTGTCTTTGTAAGTTCGTCCCTGGTCTGCATGATTACAAGAGGCTGATATATGTGTACCTGTGCCTACAGGGGAACTGAACAGGGCTAAGTGAGTGCTGAGAGGAGGTGGGGGAGAGATGAGTGCTGCAGATGAAGGTACGGCTGGGATGTGAAGCGGATTTAGAGTGTGCTTTACAAGGAATGCACAAATCAACACAGCGCTCAAATTAAATATCTTCTTGAGGGGCTTAAGTATCTTCCTCAGGAAGAGTAAAGCATGTCTTCTAGTTCTACTTCCTCCCCAGTTAGCCAGCTGCTGGAGAACCCCTCAGTAAATTCCTTCCAGATCGACTTCAGTGTGGGTGAGAGCGCAGTCTGTGACTACCAGCGCTTCTGACTCAGCGGAAAACGCCGGCAAAGAGGACTACACCTCACCGCGCGGGCAAGAGCTGCCTCAGCTCCAGCACTTACAGCCACCACTGTCACCGTTGCCCCGCCACCACCACCTTCGCTCCCCCAACCCTGCGACACACACGCGCGCGCGCGCACACACACACACGTACGCGCGCACGCGCGCGCAAACACCTCTCCCTGCTGTCAATCATACATGCGCGCCATACGGCGCATGCGCACTGGTGGACTCCGGCCCCCACCCACCCTACGCCCTGTCTCTACGTCTGGGTCCAGGCGGACCAATAAGAGAGCGGATTCGGGGGCGGGCCACAAGGAAGTAGCCAATGAGAGCGCGGTTGGAAGCCAGGGCTAGAGAGGAGTAAATCCTTCTGTCGTCTGCGTTCAGCCGCCCCGCGATGATTTACGCGTCCTTTTTATTATTTGTAACACTTTGAGAAGTTATTAAAAGGAAGATCTACTGCTTCCTCCTTTTGAGGTGGAACTGGATGGCAATATTTGTCACTGGCCCTTAATAGGGAAGAGTGTGGCGAGGTGGAGGGCCGTTGGAAGCTGGGTTTGTTTGTGTGGGTCGTGTGTTTTATTACAAGACACATTATCCTTTTCATTACAAGCTGTAGACAGGGCCAACTTCGAAGGTCTTCGTGGCCGAGTGATCTTGGATCATTCAGGTAGCTGAAACCTGATGCCTTCTGAGTTTCGCGTCCGTACTCTTGGCGTTGGGAAGAGCCTCTCAGGAAGGTGTTGCAACCTTTGATTGTACCAGAAGGAAATAAGCAAACTCCCATCACCCCCACCCCCTATTCCTCGCCTTAACACGGAGTAAACTTCGGCCTTTTTCCGCTTGGATGCTCATTAAGAGTTAGTTGACTTTGTAGCGGATGCAATAAAATTTGGATGGTTTCAGGCCCCAAAACAATCCTGGTTTCTGTTTTCCTCTCTCCCCAGCCACACCCCCAAGGAAATTGCCTTTTCAGCAGGCGCCTGCGGGAAAGAACCGCAGGAGACAGATTCCCTTTAGAGACCTGCATGGGGAGGAGGGGGATATGGAAATAAAGAGGGCCAAGGTAAGAGTACAGAGCGGCCAGAGAGGACTTTCATGTTTGGGTGTGAGATTTCTGACCAACTAGGGGGGAAATCCACAAACCTGCAGTACCTGGTGGATGCGCTGAAAAGTTAGCTCTCACCTGCAGAGTTACTCAACCCTCATGCGCTTCTGCTCGGCCAGGAAGGGCCAGTCTCCAAGGGTGCAATAAGTATGGGTATTGAAAGGGAAGTAAGAAACAGCCAAAGAAAAGAACGGATACAAATTTTCTACTCTCGACCTCCAAACCAAAACGCACTTTCAAACGTAAAACACAGTTCCAAGAAGACTGGGATGTAGGGAGTATGCGATGCCTCTGTTCAATAGGTCACTGTCAGGAACTTCAGTCTCTGGTGTCCAGATATTTTTATTTGAAATTAAGAAAATCAGCGCAGGAGGGGTTGCTGGAGGATAAAGTGGGGGTGACGAGAGACCAAAGGAGGAGGAGGGGGGTAGAAGGAACCAAGAACAGTTTGATCACAGGACTAGGCTGAAGGAAAACAAAACCGTGAACTTCAAAGCTCAGGCCTAATCCCCGTCAGGTTAATTTCTGCTTCCTAAAAAGTTTGATCAGCGTCATAAATCATTCGGTCCACCCTTGCCGGTCCTGCCTAGTTCCCCAAGGTTCTCTCCCCGCAGCCCGCTGCAGGGGCGGAGGGTGAGTCTCCAGCCCAAGACCATCTGCGGCCCCCCGGGGCAGGAGGGCTCCTGGGACTGGGTGGGCGCAAGGATGCGCGAGAATCCGCGTGCGGGGGAAGGGGGGAGGCGAGGGTCTAGGGAAGGTGCTGGGAGTGGTGCGGGCCAGACTGTGGAGAGGTCCCGTGCAGATGCAGTTTCCATTCCGTCCGACCTTTACAAAAAAACAAAAAAACCTTCAAGTGTGTCTGGCGTGCTGTTTGAAGAAGGTTACAGCGTGTTTAGAGATTTGCAAAGCTCTGCCGAGCAGTAAAGATTAGAAAGGCCTGCCTGAGATTTGTCAAATGACTTCCGGTAGCAGAGCCTTCAGTAAACCCGGCGGGTCCGGCAGCCTCAGATCTTGGCTCGATCGGGGCCTGTAACTCCAGGCTTCACTGCGCGGAATTGGTACGGCCCCACCAGGCGCGCTGCGAGGAGGATGGGCCAGGCCGGGGACCCGTGGAGGATCAGCCTCCAGTCCCGAGGAGGTCCCCGTTTTTTGGCTGGAGTGACGTAGCGTAAAAGCCAAGTCGTGGACCTTTCTATTGGCCTTTCCGTGCAGAAAGCCCTAGATGTAGACCAAGCACTAATTTCGTAAATTTGTAAACCAACTGGACTGAAAGGCGCGGCGAAATGTCACCTAGATGAGTCTGACCCTCCCTAAATGAAAGCCAACCTGGATGATGCCAGGGAGTGAAATGGCTGGGGAAGGCCAGACAGGCCTTCATCATAAGGGTCCACGTTTCTCAGCAGCAACGATAATGTTTTAAAACAAAGCAAAACAACATTGTCAAAAATCTAGGAGACAGTGATCACTGTGGTCAGGGGCGCTCAGTGGGCCGCAGTTCATAGGAATGCTGAGTTTCCCAGATTCTCCCCAGACGGGCATTGCTTTCCTCTAGGCCTGACAGTTTCCACCTTGGCTTGCCCGAGAGGTGCGCATCAGAGCCAGCGCAGGAAGCCACTATCTGTCACAAAACTGACCACACCATTCTGGTTTACACGGAGCATATAGCTTGGGGCCACCCGGCTAAAATAAATAACTGAAGGGAAATTGTTGGTCAAGAAAAACAAAAGAAAAAATATGTAATAAAAGGGGGTATCTATTGTTGGACGTCAGTCGGGTCCCTCCACACACGGGAAGATGAGGGAGAGATGTTAATGCCCCTGGGTATTAGGTACAAAGAAGCACAAAAAAAGAAAAAGAAAAAGAAAGAAAGAGAGAGAGAGAAAGAGAGAAAGAAAGAGGTCAAGTCTTCTAGAATTTGTTACCCTAGATGAATAATTACTAAGACTCACACATGCAGATGATTTTTCCGTGAAAAAGAGATTAATATGGTCTATCCGTAATATGACACACACACCCTGGGGTTATATTTCCATATTTTAAAACACAAAACAACTAAAGTTGATCAGTGATGGACATGTTAATAATGGTTTAAATATTTTATGATGGACCAGTTAAAAGAAGAGTTAAATCAAGACACAATTGACTGGGAATTTGATTATTTTCCCCCATTTCTGAAGGGGAAATAATCTCTTTCCCAAAATAAAGTTATACCATTGGTAAAAATAGCGCAGAAGACCTTGAGAATTAAATACAGCAGAACAACAACAACAACAACAAAAAGACTATGTGTTGCATTGAGGCAAAAAATAATGAAATTCAAAGGCAAATTAAAAGAAAGCAATGAGGATTTATCTGAAGAACCGCCACGGGCAGAGGAGCCACATCTTGTCCCAGATGTCAGACTTCCCTGCAACTTAATCCACGCGTTTCCACTTTGGTTTCTGAACCGAAGGATAAGTGCCGGGAAGGAAGCGCCCGCAGTCCTGCGGTACAGGGCTGGTGCAGCCTCTGAGTGCGTGTGTGAACTCTGCCAGGAAGCTGTGAGAGCCAGCCCCAGGATTCAGTGACCCTGTTTCCCAACCCACAAGGACAAGTACATGGTTTTCTCTCTTATCAATTCCAGCCCCGCACAACCAAGTGAGAGCAAATGCATTGGACCGCTTCGAAATTAAACTAAATTGCTAAAACCACTGCCTGCTGTTTCCGGGGCCCAGGCCTGTCTCAACTCGTGGTATTTACATTCCTAGAGGCCCTGCGGAGGAACACGTCGAGGCACGGATGTTCGCAGAGCTGCGAGCCTTGAACCCGGCCTCCAGGCCCACAGTGAAAATTTTTTTAAGATCAGGTTTTTTCTCCGCCTCCTCTGTGGAAGGACTTGGGGGCATTCATCAAGTCTGTAATGTTTATTCATTGTTGTAGTACCGAGCTTTCCAAACGAATAGGTACCTTTTACATCCGTTCCTTGCACAGATATTTATTATCTGTAGGAATATTTAAGGAGCTGTACTGGGCCGGCCACCTTTGACAGGGGCCATCACCTCACACTCCAGGGTAATGGACCACACTGCGGCTGCATTTAATTTATTGGGGTGAGAAGTTGCTGCGGGAGGTTTCCAAAGGGGGTCTTTGTCGCGAAGAGAGAGGCTCTGGTCCAACCTCGTAGGTGCTTAGATTATATTTTGGCCTAGGAATAACACAACCAAACACAACTCAAAATATGAAAGACGTTTCCTGAAGGTGTGGGTTCTAATACCGGAGTTCACAGATATTTAGGAGTCTATGGACTGGCCTTAGGCGGTCAGGAACTCCCCGAAATGAAATGCTGAATTTTGGGTGGCGGTCATGTAGTTCCTTATTTTTTTTTTTTTTTCAATTAAATTCTGAAAAGATTCTGTGACTACCATCCACAGACGAAGAAAAAAAAAATCATTAAAAAGTCATAGTTGAAAATGACACCAAGGGCTCGGAAGTTTTGCATTGAGCCTGAATAGAGAAAACCTGAGAAGCTGGTATAATTAACAACGCAATAGGCACGATTTTTCACTTGCTTTAAAGCAATAGATCAAAACGAGCATTACTGAAATTCTTTAAAAAGCCATGCTATTGTGATAAACTCAAGGGAGCTCAGGGACAAGGCAACCGGCTACCTGGTGTTAATATCAATGCGTTTTTAAACCAAAATGTTTCATGACTCAATTTTCCCTCTAAACTTCAAGGCAACCCAAGCTCTCTTAATATTGTCATTACCACGGCCCAGAGAGGGAACTCGATCCGATGTGGTTCTAAAACAAAATGGGATATTAACCGTGTTTGTTTTCACTTTGATCCATAGGAAATAGGTCCTGCGCCCTGTGACCCATTAAACTAATAAGATTATACACATCAGTAGAGCGGAGGTTCTAATTGTTTCCATCTGTCCCAGATCTTTGCATTTTAAAAATTGATGAAAATAAGACATGAGTTACAAAAAAGAAAATATATTGAGAGTGAAAATAGTGAAAATGTGACAAAGCTGAGCCCCTCGGACCACACATGCAACCAATTACTGAGAAAATAAATAGAAGTATATGGTGTGGCGCTTTTGGAAGAAGAAAAACCGAAGCAGGAAATATAATCATTGAATTGATCTGCGGGTACTCACACGTTTCATAAAACTAACACTTGCTTGAAAACACCAGCCAATCAGAAGCGTTTCCGGAAGACACTCTACACCTCTCCGCCTCTTCATAAATATTTAAACCGCTTCTTTCTAGATTTGTCATTTAAATCTACTAGGGAATGTGCCTCAAGGGCTCCTCTTTCACTGGGTCGCTCACACAGAGGTGGGGCGAGAGGGAGGAGGTGAGTTAGCCCTGCGCTCTCATTTGCTTAAACTGCCTTCTTTACGTCATTGTAAGGCTAAGCCAATCCGTGGAGCTCACTTTGACAAGCTCCCCGCCCCTAATTTCTCCGATCACAGCCAGCCTAAGCCAATAGGGTGGCTGCATGTAAATGAGAAACCGCAAGCGTCTCTTCCCCCGGCCCCGGCTCCTCCCAGTTTCCCGCCTCTTCCGGGCGAGTACGGACTCCAGCTGAGTGGGAGGGGCCTGGTTGTGGGCGGAGCGCAGAGGAGGAAGGGCACGAGGAAGAGGCGGAGCGTGCCAAGGAGTGTGGAACTAGGTTTGCGGCTTGCTTCCTTCCTCGGCCCCACCTCCTGCCGGGCGAGATGCCGTTTGATCATTGGCTGGATTAATAAAGAGGCGTGTTATTTTGCATAAATAGTGGGCGGGCGCCCAGGGCTGCTTTGTAACTCGAGAACCGGGTGTCCAGCCTTCTCGCGGGGGGTATGGGCGGGTCGGGGGTGGGTCCCCGCCAGCCTCACCAGACTGAGCCAAGGGCCTGAAGGAAACAAATGACTTTCTGAAAAGATTCGTCTTAATTAGCCCTTTAAAGAGAATTCTGTTTCTAAATGCATTTTTTTCGTTGGTTCTTACAAGCCGTTAAGAATTGTATCATGAAATAAGTAGAGATTACCAATCTATCCGCCCCAAAATTAATTTTGTTTTAATCTGTGTAAGGGCCACTGCTCCTGGCTGGCCGTGTGTGAAGGAAAATTTTTGTGCAATAAAAGTTATTCCTTCACTAGAATTCATTTTTTCCTTTACTATGAGTTCCCTGTCTTCCTAATTTTCCACTAGCAGAGCTAGAGAGATCCGAGTTGCGCTGAAGCAGAGAAAGGATGGAAAATTCTTTCAGGCTAAGCATTTATGAATTGCTTATGAATGATGCAAGTGTTAAAATTGTTTCCAACAGTAAAATGCCCCAGGGATACTCGGTTGACAGTTTTTTAATAAGAGAATTCTTCTTGTGATTGATTTGATCTTTTCTCTCTCTCTTTTTATTTTTTACAAAAATTTTACCTCTGTTTTAGGTCGAACTGAAAATAGACGTACCTTTTCACGATTTATGAAATAAGATGTCAAGTGATAAATAACTGGAAAATGAAAGGATGAACACGATCTTCAGGAACCTAAGTTTTAAAACATATTATCTGCACGTTTATACTGGATAACATTTTTACAGTTTTCAGAAAAGTAATTATGGTAGTTTGTTTGCTCCAAATTAAATTTGGCAGTCTTTGTTCCTTAATTTGAATTACATTTTAAAATCGAGTTGTCAACAAGGCCGTTTCACGGGGGGGGGGAAAAAAAAGCAGGAAAGAATTACTTCTTTTGGCAGGCTATGGGCCTTTATTTAAACAGAAATTAAAATTCACAGCCAAAATTCTGTCTTTCTCCATTGGAAAACAAATTACACCTTTCCGATTCTGCAATTTCTGTTCCTCCAGCACAGAAATGATAGAGGATTCCAAAGAATTTCTGTATTAGTAAGAAGTTAAGAGTGCTCTCAATGGAGAATAATGGTTTGTGAAAAATTATAAGATCAAAGGGAAGGGAAAAGTTTTCTTTTTAGGTCAGTATGGTGTAACGTTTATTCTTCTAAATACTTTTCAACACGTAACAAAGGTAGTAAAATTTGCTTAATTACTGTCTTTTTAAATTTACGTCAGTATGTTGATTACATTTAACTCAATTCATATTTAATTTTGTAGTCTTAATAGTAAATAATTTGAGGCATTATTTTATGCCTCCTCCATGAAATTATATCCAGAGACATTATTCCATTGCTAAGAAGTGATTCAGTGTTAAAAAGAAATGTTAATTCCTATGATATTCCAAGCAATTACAATAATGTATATCCATCTTAAAGCCAAAAAGCTTATGTCAGTTGATAATTTGTCAAATTTTACTTGAAATTGAACTCTAGGTAAGGTAGAGTAATAAAACATTAACACTTTTATACACTTAGTTCTTAGTAATTATAAAAAGTAAATTTTACAATCTAATGGCAAATAATTACATTTTGGTGTTAATTTTAGGAGTTAGCTTTATATGACTGTGTTATGCTGTTTTAACAAGCTTTGGGATAATGAATAAAGTACTATTATAATTTCAGTAATATAACTGAAAATTAAACACAAACTATTATTTAATCCAAACTATTATTTTATTTTTCATTTTTCTTTTATGAATAAGATTTTTCTGGTTATGATGTATATATATGTTCCTGAAAAAAGTCTGAGAAATGCTGAAAGGCATAAGAAGAAAAACGCAAAATGTTCATATGTATTCTCACAATCAGTAAATAAATCTGTTTCCTATATTTTCTTCCTATCTTTTTCTATGTGTTAGTAGTGAGGTTACTTTTTTGTTTTGCTTTAGTACAAAATTCCAATTGGGTTCTATATTAAGAACTCACTTCTCAAAGCTCAGATTTATTTTGTTCTTATTTTCTGCTTGGACTATAATTTAACTTTGTAAGAATTTACGGTTTTATTACATTCGTGTTTTTAACTTCTTTTTATTATAAGAAATACACATTCATAAAGTAACCACTCAGAACTACTGAAAAGTAGAAATAAAATATAATAATGATCTGTCCATAAAAAATCCTACAGTTTGCATTTTTTAAAAACACAGTGTTATCATTTATAAATATAAATCATAAATCTTGTGGGTTAAAACAATATATTCAAAAGGAATTTACCTTTTTGCATATGTTGGAAAGATTTAAAAGTTGCATTTTAACATTCTAATGTAGCAAAGACTACTTTAAGTTTTCTTGTGTAGCTTAACTTCTGTAACCTATACCAGCAATTCCAATGTTGTTCACATAAAATAAACATTTTATCTGAGCTTTACAAAAACACTTCTTCTTTATATTTTCTATTCTTCTTAAGATGCATTTGTTGATTGCTCCTCTTTCAAATCCTGCATGAATGCATAATTACAACAAACCAAAACATAAAAGACATTGGTCTGTTTTCAAATTGCAACATTTTTTCTTTAGCCCAATTATGTTTTACTAAAAGCATCTGCTTCCAATCTATTTGCACTTTTAGGAATACTGATTTTTATTAATAGCACCTGAAAATACCAGCAAGCCACAAAGGACATGTAATTAAGAATATCACCAAACAAGTATTTAACAAAATGCATGATTAGCTATGTTTGTGGCCTCTAAATGGAGCAAAAGTACATATCTCACCATTTCATTTTACAGTCTCTATTTACTTCTTCCCCATCTTGATATTGTGGTTCCAGTAACAAAACAAATAGCCCAGTTTATCAATAAATTGTAAACTCATAACAATACACTGTTTATAATATATCACATATCCTGTAAGTTTCTAAACCAAATGTTTTCTTTGTGGTGGCAAACGGTTGTGGCAAGAAATCTGTTTTTACATGTTAGTTCTCTTAGCTTACAGTAATAACTAACTCTAACATATTTAAATGAGGGTTCAAATAATAGAAATGAACCACGTTCCGAATATATAAATTAAATTGCCAACTGTGAGAAAGTCAAAATCTGTGTTCCATGTTATTTTATTTAAATTTATGAACTATGTGAAATGGGTAATTCCATCCATTTTTCCAGTATGGTTTTATAAGAAAAAGACATGAAAATTGATATCCTCCGTAGAATAGCAACAGTTTAGCCACTATTTTTATGGATGCAGGGATCCAAGAATTAAATAAGAATACATAATGGCATTTAAAAACATCTCTGAATAAGAACTGATTGACCAATTACCAATTACATGCTCACAGCTGGAAGGTGTTTGTTTCCATATACTTTTCAAAAGATTGCATTTGCCTTTGTGAACAAACACTAGCTGCAAGAAAGGAAATTAAGAACATGAAAGAGGTGTTTTGTTTGTTTCAGGTTTCTTTCATTATGGATATTTTTTAAAAAGTTAATACTGTGGGCCGGGCGTGGTGGCTCACGCCTATAATCCCAACACTTTGGGAGGCCAAGGAGGGCTGATCATGAGATCAAGAGATCAAGACCATCCTGGCCAACATGGTGAAACCCCGTCTCCACTAAAAATGCAAAAATTAGCTGGGCATGGTGGTACATGCCTGTAGTAGCAGAAGTTAAACTACTCGGGAGGCTGAGGCAGGAGAATCGCTTGAACCCTGAAGGCGGAGGTTGCAGGGAGCAGAAATAGCATGACTGCACTCCAGCCTAGTGACAGAGTGAGACTCTGTCTCAAAAAAAAGAAAGAAAGAAAGAAAGAAAACCATGAATTCACTATTCAAGATATATATATGCAGAGATATATATATAATTATATTTCTGTAACTTTTTTCATGAAAACAAGAGATGTTTTGTACCCAGAGTACCATAATCAAGTAATGAAAACAGACTTGAAAAAATAAGTGGCAGTTTTATTAACAGTTACCATATTTAGGGATGTTATATTCTGTGGCTGTTTCTAAAAGGTGCAAAGCAGTTATGAAAAACTTTAACTTTCATTCACTATAAAAATGTAATGTACAAAAATAAAAACAAAATAGTGCCAGAATACCAGCTTCCCATACAAACACAAACATGTATCTAAAGGAAGAAAGAAACAGTCTGTTTCCAAAACGTAAAATGAACAAGTTGTTTTTTTTTTTTTTTTAAGCTTGGATTATGTTGAAAATTGCCTCCATTTTTTCTCTTCACATCATACAGATAAAGAAGGTTCAAGTGGCATTTCAAAGTCATATTCAACCCCCCAAAAAGCTAAACAATCTTATGTATTTAAGTTTGATTGTAAAATGAATTTTGTATAGAAAAAAATTAAAAAATATTTACTTTATAAGTTCACAGGCTCCAGAGTCCTTGATGCCTCAGCATCTCAGTGTTATTTGTGTTTACCATGATGGGGAGCAACCGTATGCCACGCAAAATTACATTTCTTTGTAAAATTGCCAATTTGAAATAGTACTCTGACTTCCAGAGGTGGTTTGGGACATATTTTTGAAGAAAAAAAAATCACTCCTGGAAAAAATATATTTAATAATTATAGTTTTTCTCTCCCTTTTTAGTTTGCCTTCCACAGGATATGCAAAATGTCAGTATTATTGAGAATATTCCAAGGGATATTAGAGGTAAATGAACCATATATTGATGACCAAATTCTAATATAAATTTGTCACAGAATTCACCACATCTGGTATCAGCTTGTCCTGATTTTCAAAAGAGTCAACAATATTAAAAATTGTCATCTATGGGCTAGTGCATTTTCCAAACTGTATACATATTTTTAAATACCAAAATAATATATGTGCATTGTAGTAAAATGTAAAAGCACGAAGAAAACAGGGAAGAAAATTTCACTCCCTATAAAGAAAACCACTACTCAGATCTTGATATATATTTGATATATATTTAATGATATATATTCTTGAGATCTTTTTTCTGTGTATGTA